CCTAATCTGCAAAACCAGCTCATGGAAAAGAGCCCAATATAATAATGATTCTTTTCTACGGATTCTGTTAGATTATGTAAATTTATGATTTAAACTATACTGCTTTGTTTCATCCAATCAGGCCAACGCCGAGGAAGCTTGATCTCTTCGTTAAGTTTGGTCATCGCTTACTCGCTCCTTCTTTTTATACAAACAAAATTTATGAGTTGAGTCTCAAAAATTCATTAAGATTAAAATATGCTAGCTGTTCTTTTTAAATATAAGAAAATAACAGTAACCTTATGCACTAAACACTGACACAGCGTCGCGCGGAGTTTCATCCATTTTAAATAAACAAATAAAAGGAAAAAGAAGTGCGTCTCCTTGGGCCTTCATATAAAATGAAAAAGGGATATCATCCGTACATTTTCATTGATGAGATCAGAACCGTTGCTATTGGCTTGGGCTTTCGTCGAAAACAATATGTCTGGCTTACCAAAAACATCCCTCTAAATAAAGAATTCAAACCCGATTCCCTGGCCCATGAACTCACGCAAATAAATTTAAAGATAAAGATTACCTTTTTCTAAGCTACACAAAAAATTGAACTAGACTGAACTTCTATCTAACTCAAAATTTAATTTTTTTTTATGAAAAAAATTAGATTAGTCAACTCATAGTTTGGTCTGGTTCAATGATAACTCAAAGATTAATAGGATCGGACTTGGTCCATAGGATTAAAAGACTGATCCTGTTAGTCCAGTACTTATTTAACTTTTTTTTCCTTTATAAAAGGCAATAATTTATTTTAACACAACAAACTCAATTGAGATAATAAAAACGCTTATAGTAATAATAAATCTATAATGATTTCCAATAAGAAGAAAAAATATTTTAATTACAGTCCAAGTGATCGAATTATTAAATTATTAGATTGAGTGTGCGACTGTGTCAGAAGCCCAACTTATTAAAGTGTCAATAGTCTTAACTTATTATTACAACAAATTAGTAAATTAATTATAATCATATTAAATAAATTTAATATGACCAAATTGGATCAAACGGTCCAGATGTCTAGTTTCCTATCAAGTCTAACCTAAAGAAACATAGAGTCTCTTTAGTCCTTAAGGATCAATTTTTAACATGATCGGACTTTTTCGGATTAGACTAGGTCAAACACAATTGAAAAACTTTTACACAACCTTGCCTTCTTCTTAAGTAAAAGTATATCTTTTATTCTCTAACTTTATACAATATCTTAATTTATTCTTTTAGGATATATTTGAGAATATACAATGGAGCAAAAAGTAATGTTATTAATGGAATGGAATAGGTAGAGTGGGACAAATTGGAATTGAACGAAGCATTTCATTATTTATGAGTTTTATTAAAAGAATAAATAAATTTATTTAATTATTTTTTAAGAATAATTGTACAATTAATACATTTAAATTAAATATAAATATATTTTTCAGTTTTACTATAAGGAGGAGTAAGAGTCAGAAGAGGTGAGAAGGATGGGGATAATAACGTTATTCATGTTACATCATTCCATTCTCATCCTTCGAATTGGGAGGTCAAGAAAAATAAATTTATGATGGTAAAAGATAAGTTGAAAACTTGGAATATCACCCCAAGCCATTTAACTTTATTTTAAAAAATTCTTCCTAGCAATGATATGAGGTTTATAGCCATCCCATAATATTCCATTCAATTTTAAAACAAAACTCCTAAATATTACCTTAATTTTATAAAATATTTTTTCAATCCTCTAACTTTTTTTTTTTTTGCCCAGATGAATCCTCTGACTTTACTATTAGGCTTAGATGATGATTTTTGTGCAGATAATTATTACTTGAAAAAACTAAACTTAATATTTTAATATTTAAAAATATTTTGTTAATATTTAAAAAATCAATATCAATTTTTTTGTTGACTATATTAGAGATAGAGAAATAAAAATATATTTTATGAAATTAAATGATCAAAATAAAATATTATATAAAATTAAAAGACTAAATGTATATTTTTTATTATTTATATACATCCTTCTATTGAAGACAAACTTGTTCAAGGTACAATCAGGAGGTATCTCTTATGAGATTATCTTCTTTTTTATATCAAGAGAAAATGATACGTATTTAAACTATACTCATTTTTCTCCATAAGTTACTTCACCGCTTACATTTTCTTGCAAATATGTTATATTTTAAAAGGATGTATTCAAGGACATTGAATTACATTTTGATTTTTAATTATTCTTATTTATTTTTATCTGTCTTAATTCTCCACTGATTTATCTATTTTATTTAAAAATAAAAGGAAACTTATAATTATTGTACAATATTTTTTTTCATGTCAAGATATATTTGTTGGTATCCAGGGTCACAGATATTTTAGAAAGGTACAGAAAATAAAAATAAATTTATAACATAGATCAAAATAAAATAAACTCAACATAAAATAAAGCTGATAATTCAGCCAACCTAAATAAATTTAAGATCAGGCCTGCTAAAAATATGCTTTTTTAGTGTTAGGGTTTATTTGGATCGACTTGATAAATTTGAGCCAAGCTGGGTCTAGTTTAAATTTGGCTTGAATACTACATACAAAAAATTTCATTCTAGTATATATATATATATAATATTAAATATTAATAAATTTTTTAAATTTTATGTCATTTTATACAAAGATATCATATATTTGAGTACATTATTATAAATATTTTTTAAAAATTTAAAGTATTTATATTGTCATATTTTTATTATTTTTAATTTATAAAATATCTCAAGATAATATTTAAAGTGTATTTTAAATTTTAAGACCCATATATTTAAAAAAAGTTTGAGTCTTATACATCATTTAAGTATTTTAAAAAAATATTTTATATATTTATAAAATAAAATAATTAATTTAAATTAAACATTAAAATAGAATTAGTTTTTTAAAAATTGATAATTTAAATATTCAAGCTTGCCCAAAACCCCAAAGAAAGTCAGATTGAACTTAGTTATTTGTATTATTCAAGAAGTTTGAGCTTATTTGAGTCAAGTTTATCAAACAGAGTTTAAATAAGTCCAAATCATTTGAATTATCAACTTTAATACAGAGGATGTAAAGTGAGTTATGTTACCAACACTTGAAGATGAGTAACTAACAATCCTAACCTATGGGCAAAAAAATAGCTAATTATAATCCAGTGTTTTGTGAGCACATTCTTATAAATAATATTATGAATTATAATTTCACTAAATAAATATTGTGATGATGGATCGTTAATGGACTATTTTGAGTTTAATTCGTGATCATGGATAAATATGCCATAATTTAATTGGTTTATTTGATTTGGATGAATATTTTTCCTAAAAAAATTATTCTTTTAATTTTATTTATAAGATACTTCTAACAAATTTTACTAAAATTAAGAAAAAGTTCAAAACGTATTAACTTTGTAAAGAAATTTAGTAATTTTTTCACTTTATTTCTATTAAATATACATATTTTAACAACACATTTTTTTAATATTTAATGGAGATCAAGTGAAAAAAATTTGAGATAAAAATTTATTGAGATAACTTATAAATAAGACAAATTTTTTCTCTCTACCTTATACCTTATAAATAAAGTTAGGAGAGTAAATCTATCAAATTAAAAAATTTAGTGGCCGGTCCAATTTTATAAAACTTTTTTTTTGGTAAAATCCAATTTGATAGACATTATTATTAGATAGCCAATGAAAACTCTAGAAGATGGATGCATTTTAGTAAAGCATGCACATAATATTTTTTTTTTTGGTTTGTTGGGATTTTATTATTCACATAGCATCGATACGACGTAAGAAAAAATCATAAAAGTGATCATTTTCTTTTGGGAAAGATACCGTGTCGTGATGTTGATGTTGCATCTTGTATGTAACCCCTCCCAACCCTTTTGAAAACCATGATGCCAAAGACGCTTACTGTCTCATCAGTGTAGGTAAAAAAAAAAAATGAATATATTAGTATCATGACAAAAGTATATTAATAAATATTTACACATACTCATATTGTACACATTCTAAGGCTACAAGTTAAATAACTAGTTTATAGAATTTAATAAATTTAACAATTTGTAAAGAAAATATGGATTGATTATGGATCTTTTAATCATTTATATTAAAAGCTATATACCTTTTGATAGAAATTTTTTTAACATGTGCAATTAATAGTGATAGTTTACGAAAAAAAATTATAAATATGTAAAACAAAGTATATAGTTTTGGATGGAAATGAGTATTTTCTTTTTCATTTAAAAATTTGAGCACATGTTATGATGGGATGGGACAAACAGAACCAATGCACCAGAAGATCCCACATGTTTCTTTCTGTTCATTTTTTAATCTGAATGACTGAATCTGATTTTCAGATAATGGGGTGCACACTGCATATTGAAATCAGAGGCTGACCACCACCCATGGTTTTATTATGTTCTTTCTTTCCTCTTTTCAACTCTTCTTCTTTCTACCATTAATTAAATCTCACTTTACCCCCAGTCCACTCTACTACATTTAGAAAAAAGAATTGATTTTTCTGATATTAGCAAAACCCCACAAAAAAAATCCAATATTTATGGATTTTGGTGACGGTGTCAGAATTTTGAATGATCGAGTGGATAAAGTTGGTATACCATGTTCCTCCTCTGCCCCTTGTTTTGTTCCTACTAATATTGCTATTATTACAGAATTCGCCATTACAGCATACACCTGGTGACCCTGCACAGCGTCTGAAAGTACTTTCTTGCCCTTCGTCCATTGAAATTTGCATCCTCAAAAATCAAAACCTCAGACAAGGAAAAAATATCCTGCTTCTGGGGGCTGTACGATGCAAACTACCGACCACAATAAGCAAAAACAAATGTCCAGACGGTGGTATTTTGAAGAAAACCATCAACTCAAGAGATGGAGACTTTTTCTTTTCTTTTCTCTTTTCTTTTTCGTCTGAGATTTCTGAGTGACTTTTATTATAAATACACAGCCTTCGTCTGCGATCTTCTCATCCTCCAAAAGCTTCTCAATTTATTACTATTCACTAGTGTACTGTTCACCAAATTAAACTCGTTCTTGAAGATGTCGAAGGGAAACATGTCTGTTAATTCTCCTCTTGAGAGGACAAGCATGGCTTCGCTTGATCAAAAGTTGGCCATGGCAAAGCGCTGTTCTCATGGTAATGATCTTCACTTTACTTTCTTTCAGTATCAGTTTCATCAGCTTGGTCCATCCTTGGCCTTTTCTTTTGTACCTTAGCTTACTGAAATTTTGGCTGATTCTGACAAGTTTTGAATTAACCTCATATGGATCTGCTATACACGATCATGATTGTAAAAAGGATCTTGATTTTGGTCTTTTCATCTGAATGTGTAAACAGAGGGTGTGATAGCAGGAGCCAAGGCAGCTGTTGTAGCCACTGTTGCCACTGCCATCCCAACTGTGAGCATATTTTCTGCATTTAAAGATCGGTTTTCCAGATATATAATCTGATAATCCTAATCTGAATATTCATGTTTGAATTTTGAAATCCAGCTAGCCAGTGTAAGGATGCTTCCTTGGGCAAGAGCTAATCTTAACCACACTGCTCAAGCTCTCATCATTTCCACAGGTCAGGCTCATGGCTCGTCAACAATCCCATTGATGACAAATGACAACTCTCATGGTAATTAATAAGCTTTTCTTCATCCAATCTAACTTATCTTGTGATTTGACTGCAGCTGCTGGAGCTGCATACTTCATAGTTGCAGACAAGACCGTTTTGAAAACTGCAAGAAAGAACTCGTTCAAGCAACCCTCCAACGTGGAAGCATGAAGTCGGCTGGGTGGCTTGGATTATTCTAAATCTGGTTCTTGCATGCTCTACAAGGGGCTATTATTAGAGAAATCCAAATGCAAATCCTGTCAAAACTATATGTACTAATAAATAAGATGGGACTACATTTGGATGGCGGGATGACCATCAGCTTATATTATATGAATGAATTAATGCAAATCATTCCGTTTTCCATTCTGCAGATGTTAATTACTCCTTTAAAGAGACCAAGTATTTATATGGTTCAAAAATAGTAATTGCATGAGCAGAAACTTTAATATATATATATATAAATGCAAACACAAGTAATTTGCAAGTCCATCAAGCTATGGAAGCGTATTCACCTCCTGTTTGATCAGGAGGATGCATGAACTTTATTACAAGCCAGAGACTAATATGATCCACTGATCATATATAACGACAACAATGTCTTCCTTAAATCCAACGCTTGCCGCTTAGGTAAAAAACTATCTAGCTATCTGTAGATTATCCTTAGATCAGACAAGATACATTTAAAAAAAAAAAAAAACAGAAACTGAAGGCCGCTTGCATTATAATAATGTCTGTCCGTATATATTTACAACATGAACCTAATTAAGGCTATTCCTTTGAGGCAAAATGTCCTGAAGATGTGGATTCTCCAAGTATTATTAATTACAAGTGTGCCAATTCCTACGTTTTCGCCTGAGCTCATGAGAGGAATACACAACTAGTCGCCGGAGAGCCTAGATATATCCGGATTGCATTATGGATGTTTTTCACAATTTAATATTACCTAGTTGAGTCATTCAAACATCTTTTCTTTGGAAGCTTGGAATAATTTTTTTAATTTTCTAAAAATATTTAAATACATAAAATTAAGAATTTAAGGACCAGTCCAATTTTAAAGATACTATATTTTGACGCTAACGATAGACGAGGTGCATTTTCGTAAAGCCAACTTTTTTTTTGTTTTATTAGTTAAATACTGATGCGACGTCCGTAAAAATTTGAGAACTGGCCATCATTTATAGTGAAGCCAATCTCACGTTGTATTTTTGTAACAAACACCCCCCCAGAAAAAAACAATAATAAATATTTTTTTGATTGTCTATATTAATATATATATATATATATATATTTAAATATTTACACCCACTTGTTATAGCAAGTCCACACCTTAATATTATATACACACACATATATCAATGAATAAACTGTTATGAGTGGGAAAAACTACATTCATTTTTATAAGATAAAATTATCTATTTTCTTTGAAAAAAATTAATTAGTGTCTTTAACATTTTCTTATCTTACCGCAAATACTCCTCATTAATTTAAAACTATCTTAACCAATTAAGATTGATATGAATGGTATAAACTCTTATCACTTAAATAAATAATTGAAGATTCGATTCCTAACTTTTATGTACACAGTAATTTAGTTAAGATAAATGTAAGGAGTACCAATTGTTATCTTAATTATAGTCCCAGTCACTTAAATTTGTAGTTGGCAATTTAGGTTAAGCTTGACAAGTCAGCTTGAAAAATTTTAGGTTTGAACTTAGGAGATTAGAAAACTGTCTTTACTACAAGCATATTTAAACCGTTCAAATAAGCTTAAAAAAATTTGGACCAAATTCAAATCCAAATGAGCTTAGTCCAAATTTTAATTCTTTTTTAGCATTGATAAAATGAAATTAAAATAATATAAAAATTAAAAAATCTTAATTTTTTAAATATAAAATTGAAATTATCTAAAAAGGAAAAATGAAATGAAATTTAGCAATTTGAGTGTGCTAACTTAAATAAGCCTGAAAGCTTGAGATGGCGAGGCCAAATTAGTTATATGAACTTTTTTATATGTTCAGGTATTTGAAACTTAATTCAAATAGGCCCAACCCTAATTGAACCCAGTTTGAACAAGCTTGTCTCATTTGAATTATATGCTCTATTTATATTACATACTAAATAAAAGGACGCAAAAATACAATGTGCTTGTTTGTTTAATATTAAAATATAAATGATTTTTAGGTAGTTTAAAGATTTTATAAAAATGTTTCTTGATTTTTGCTTTATAAAAATGTTTTATTATTATACTATTTTAAAATATCATGATATCTTCACTTATTCTACCTCTTTAAAACATTCTTTCTCTCATATAACGCATTAGATTGTTTTTAGAAATTATACAAAACAGTTTCTTAAAATAATTAAAAATATACTTTTTTTAATTCTTATTATTTTTAAAAGTTTAAATAAATATCATAAAAATTCATAAATAATTTTTTTTCAAAAATAAAGTGACTTTTTCATGAAATAAGCTAAAATAAAGAGGGCCAATATCACTTACTACAAAATTTATACAGTGTTTTAATACGAGGATGCAAATCAGTCCTTTGTTGAATACTCCCTCAGCTTCTTTTCATAGGATGCTTTGGAAAAAAAATATATCAATTATTATAGGGCGTTTTAGAAAAATATCAAACAATGTTTCATCGTTTACCCTCTAACGCCAACTGTATTGTTGAATGTTGAGTTAAAAAAATATGGTGACTCTGTATAAATAACAAAAAGTCTTTATCAAGTTTTCATGAGATGCATTCCTCATAATAATATTTATATTTCTTCAATTAATAAAAATATAATTGAAAATTGTAATATTTTTAACAAATAAAATAACATAAGTATTTTTTAATACGTGAAAATATATTACAAACACTTAATAAACAAAATTGACGGCAGCATATGTATACATTTAATGAACTTGTACAAAATATATGATGAAAGGCATGAGACTCGGAGCACCCTCCAATGCTTGTATATATTATTATTATTATTATTATTATTATTATTTTGGCCTTGAAAAGGTAGGAGCACATCTTGTGATGTGACCTGAAAATCCCATATGATTCCTTGTCTTCATTTTCTAATATAAATGTTAACTTTTGAGGCTTGTGGGTTGCACCCCTGTGCACAGTGACCTCTAACGACACCGTCTGACTCTGCCGCCCGCCCACACCACCCATGGTTTTCTTATCTCCTTTCTTCTATCTACTCTTCGCCCTCGTTACTTTACTGCTCTTCAGTTCAGTCGCCAAAAAAAAAAAAAAACAGAACTTGAATGATACGAGTGGACAACGTGGGTATACTATGTCTTGTGTCTCCGCTCTGCCCCTCGTTTTCTTCCTGCTTAATCATTATTTCAGAATCCGCCATTGCCGCACCAACACCTGGTGCCTCTGCCCGGCCTCTGAAAGTACTGTCTTGCCCTTCATCCATTAAATATTTGCATCCCCACAAATCAAAATCTCCGCTGAAAATCAATTGCTTCTTTTGGTGGTTGTACGATGCAGGCTACCGTCCACAATAAGCGAAAACGAATGTCTCAGACGGTGGGATTTGCAAGAAAACCATCAACTCCTTAGTCCAAACCCCCCCCCCCCCCCACAAAAACTATCACAGCAATCTTTTTCTTCTTTTCTTTTCTTTTCTTTTTTCTGAAATTCCTCTTAGTTTTCTCATTTCTCTATCACTTTCTTTATAAATATCCAAGCCTGCTTCTCCTCTTCTCATCATCCAAAGCTTCTCGTTTTACCTTTGCCAGTGTCATTCTACTGTTCATGTTCTTCAAGATGTCGAAGGCAAATGTGTCTGCTAATTCTCCTCTTGAGAGGACCAGCATGGCTTCTCTTGATCAAAAGTTGGCCTTGGCAAAACGCTGTTCTCATGGTAATGTGCCTTTCCTTTCTCTTTCTTTCATCATCTATTTCGGTATCAGATTCAGCTTGGTCCCATCAGGCCAATAAACTTGAACTTGCAAGTTTCATATCCTGTTATTCCATATTTCATATCCTGTTATTCCATACTTACGTAAAATTATCATGTTTCCTTACACTCTTTAAAATCAGAAGCAATCCTAAGTCATCATTCTCCTCCACCCTGGCTTTCTCTTCTGTACCTTACTCATACATTTTAGCCGATTCTTCTAAGTTTTGGATCACCAAATAGATCTGTTGTTCCAATGACGATCACTGTGGAAAGTCAATCACGTGTTTTCTGGAAAACGATATTGATCTTGTGTTCTTATATGATGTGTAAACAGAGGGTGTGATAGCAGGAGCCAAGGCAGCTGTGTTAGCCAGTGTTGTCACTGCCATCCCAACTGTGAGCATTTTCTGCTGCTTCATTTTTCTTGAATCAATCTGGCAGTTCCATTAGAGGTTGGTTTTTGGGATAATCCCTATCTAAATATTCATGTTTGAATTTTGATATCCAGCTGGCTAGTGTAAGGATGCTTCCTTGGGCAAGAGCAAATCTCAATCACACTGCTCAAGCTCTCATAATTTCCACAGGTTAGCATATATATTCATCAACAGTCCCAATAATTGCTACTCTCATCATAAGTAATTAGCTTTTCATCATCTAACTATTTGTATTGTGATATGACTGCAGCGGCTGGAGCTGCATATTTCATTGTTGCGGACAAGACCGTCTTGAAAACTGCAAGAAAGAACTCCTTCAAGCAACCCACCAACGTCCAGGCATGAAATCAACTGGGTGGCTTGGGTTATTTTGAATCTGGTTCTTGTTCTGCATTGTGCTACTAGAGAAATATCCGAATGTATATCCCATCTAAATATATATGTATTAATGAAAGAAGATGGGACATCATTTTGATGGAGAGATCAATGATATATTATATGTAACACCAGCAGTTGTCATCATCACCTTATATGAATGAATGCAAAATCATTCAATTTTACTTTCTACACGTTAGTTAGTCCTTTAAAGAGACAAAGTAAGGTTCAAAGATAGTAATTGAATGAGCAAAACACATACAAAAAATGTTAGAAGGGGTTTCTTCTGTCTCGAGAAATAATAATATATCCACAAACACAAGCCAAGCAAGTCCATCAAGCTGCAAAAGTTTATCTACCTCTTAAAAGACCAAATGGGCAAACTTTTTTTACGAGGATGAAATTTATTACAAGCCAGAAGCTAATGATCAGTCTGCCTTAAATACAACATCTGCCGTTCATGAACCATTTGCAGATTATCCTTAAACAAGATGCACTTAAAAAACGTAAACGGAGGGAGCCATTTGCATTTTTATAAACTAGTTGATAATTTGTCTGTCCATATATATATATATATTTACAAGATGAACTTGAGGTATATATGTGATTATCACAAGTGAGTCTGGAAGTAATTTCATGTTTCTTTATTGAAATGAATTTTATTGTTATATTAAGACACAGAATCAAAGTACAATTCTATTGAATAGAAAAGAGAAAGGCAAAAGTAACCTTTTGATGTGCTTGTAAAGCCAAAATACAATTTTGCAGAGGTGTTAATGAAGGCGTTGAGTCAGTTGTATTGAGGGTTTTGATTGAACATCTTGGAGGTAATCTAACAGAAGTTCTAAACCCTGTTTCAATGAGAACTGAATATTCAAAAATCCAAATGAAAGGCTATATTTTTTGGAGAAAAAATGTCCTCAAGATGTGGATTCTCCAAGTATTATTAAAGAGAGAAGCTAGGCATCCTTCAGAGAATAATCACATACAAAAATATGAGAATATAGAGTAGTGGGCTGTCTGTGGTTTTATTATTTTATTTCTATTCAGTTATCAAGTGCGGAATATTCATCCTGTCTGTCTGATGAAAATGCATGTGTGATTAGGATTCCTTCTTATCGAACCAAGGGTCAAGATGCAAGCACTGATATGCCATTGTGGGATTTGACTATTCTACACCACGTCAACAAAGAGTGGTCCTTCCTAGACTCACTGAGTTTCATGAATCTTTGTAATATGATGCAGCATAGCTGGGCAAACAGGTTCTGAACTAACTTAGTTTTGGGAGGTTGGGATTCTACTAGATTTTTATTGTTAATCATCTTCTTTTCCCAAGTGCATTGTCTTTCTCGTTAAGAAAGAACATTTGAACATAAATTTATATTATTTTTCTTACAAATTCATATTTATAATTTCAATCAATAAATTTTATGAGATTAACATATAATATATATCCAACATATTTCTATAACAACTAAAAAATCATATAACAAAAATTTTATTTTTAAATTGTCATTATTATGTCTATATACATAAGAAGATATATCATGACTAAAAGTAATATAATTTTTTTAAAAAAAATAAAAAATGGGCTAACTTGTTGACCCATTTAGCCCACTAATTTTGTAGATTTGGCTAGCCTAACTTATAAAAAAAGTCAATTTTTTCAATCCAACTTACCAACTTTAGTAGATTGAGTAAGCTAACCTGTGAATTCAACCTATTTTTCCAACTCTAAATGTAATATATTTTGAGAATTTATATGTGATTTATAAGTGTACATTTTTACTTGACAAGAGGCATATATATGACAGCTAAAGCCTAGATATATCCAAATTGCATTTTTCACAATTTAGTATTACATAGTTGAGTCATTTAAAAGAGCTTTTCTTTTAGATTCTATTATTAACGGATAACACCACTAATATTATTTAAACCTTGTCCTTTCAGAAAATACGTACATACCAGGAAGATATTTGTTGGGGGAGGTTAAGGTTTTATATTAGAAGTTTTTCCCTGGCTCTTTCATCGTAATTTGGAGGTCCAAATTGCCAAAAGATAGGTTCAGAGAGAATATGGATCTCAAACTCTAAATCCTTATTGCAACTGATCAGTGGTTACAATATAAAGAAGGCACAGAGAGCAGAATATAACGACACTTGTACAAGTACGTGTACGAGTTAGTATAACCACTAAACTAAACATTCAATAACTCTAACTTTGACTAATTGACCGTAACTGACTTATTAAGCTAATACAAAGGACTTTGATTCCAAAGTATAACTTTTTTGGAAAGACAAGATGACTAGGTTCGCATGTTCATTCTGTTCAGAGTCGGCTCGCCGCGTCGCGTCGCGTCTAATCTAAGAAATTTTTTTTCTACCAAATACTTCATTCGCCCTTAAAAAAAAAAAACAGAGAGAGAGAGAGGATACAAAGTAAAGCAATGAGAGAAAGTTTGCTTAGCTTACATGCAGCTTGCTGTGTCTAAAGTATGATAAGAAGATGTGGCAGGCCATGCTACGCGTGAAGAATCTTGCAGAGCATTATCCTGCGATCAATATAAGCGCACATGTCGTAGTGTTCTAGCTCACAAAAGTTTTGTTCATGTCACTCTAGAATTTCAACATGCACAAACTTACAAGAAGTAAAAAGAAGCAAAAGATTGTTAATGGATGTGAATCTTCGAATGGCATTTCAATTATTGCCATAAAGTGATCCAAACAAAGGAAAACACGCACAACTTGGTTATGAATGTGCATGAGAATGAGACAAGGAATTGATTCCCTAATTTTTTTTTCACCTTCAAGTTTCAAGTCTCAAACTTTAACCGTAAAGCTTACCTAGTGAAGGTTTATTTGCCTGTTGGTTCGGATCCAGGCGAGCTTCTATTACCATAAGAACCTACAGTTCATGTGGGGTTCAAGGGGATTTTTGACATTGTTTTAGTCTTTCACCTGCCTCTCTTCCCCTGGATATGTTCTTCTGCAATAATGCATGGGAATCACGTAAAGAAAAGCACAAGAGAGTGGTTTTAGACGGAAAGATAGTGCGTGTACATATGCAGTATAATTTCCCACCTAATAAACGAGCGAGCCCACTTCCAATCCCACCATTTCTAAGTATCTACCTTTCAGATATTTCTGCTTTTCTCTACATGACCAGGGAACAGCTCTCTCTAGAATTAGATTACCAGGAAACAGAAAGAGACATCCCTGTCCCAAGTCTCAACTACAATCGGTCTATAAAGCCTCCCAACTCTAGCAGCAGATTTTATCACAGGAACTACTTGATCACCAGCTTTTTTCTGAACTATTACTCTATTCACATCTGTCATACCATTTCTGGGCAGCTAATTCTGTTATTCATCATTCTTCTTAAGGTAAATATGAGGATGTTATATTCAATCTTTGTTCAACCATCTAGAAATAAATTACTGTGCTTAAGCTCTTTTTGACCTCCATTGATGCAGAGTAGTATATTGGCAAAGATGAGCTACACCGGACGTGATTGGCTATGTGGTGCTTGCCAGCATGTTAATTTCAGGAGGAGAGATGCATGCCAACGTTGTGGATACCCCAAGTTTGGAGGTTCTGAGTCATTGATTTGTGGAAGCAACAAGAACAGTGAAGCATTGCCAGGAGACTGGTTTTGCAGTGCTGAGAACTGTGGAGCTCACAACTATGCAAGCCGATCAAGATGCTTTAGGTGTGATGCTCTCAGAGATGACAACGCTGTCTCTGACAGATATGGACTTGGCAGCAGCATGCCCCCACCAGGATGGAAGCCTGGTGATTGGATGTGCTCTAGGTCAGTTCACATTTTCTTTCAGGTTTAATTAGCTCTGAAAAAATGGTATATCTTCAATAATGGTGTAATTTTCTCTCAGCTTCATTGATTCTATAGTTGCATCATGGAATGCCAAGAAAGAAAATGAATATGGTTTCAACTTAACAGAATGACCTCATATTATCAAGAAATTCACATATATATGGTCAATATTAATGAGCTTTAGCTCAGTGCTGTTAGAGTTATTTTTGGCAATGAAAATGAACTCCATAAAAACATAACACTTTAATTTAACTGAGTCCATGAAAACTGATTTTAATCATGTTTCTCCTTTACATCCACCTAGAGGGTAAGGCAGACTTCTTTTTTGTACAATGGCTAATTGTGAGGTAAAGCCAGATAGAGGTTATCAATCTGAGTGAGGAATACAACAAAAATAGGTCAATATAAACGAAGTGACTCACATTCTAAGTTACAAGAGAGCTGGGACTTTATCATTCTGTCTTTCACATATTCTTGTTCTTCAATTTGTTTTCTTTTGATGTAACAGCTGCGGAGCCCATAACTACGCTAATAGGGAAGAATGCTTCAAGTGCAAAATACCAAATGATTATGGTGAGAAGAGTTTAATTACTAGTGACTGTATCGAAAAGATAGTTTAGTCATAGGAAAGATATCACTTATTAGCAAGTGGTGTTCAATGAGAGTAAGTTATTCCTTGACACATTTATAACTTGTATTTCAGGGCGTGCAAACTGAGAGCATTTCAGAAAATCCCATATTGCAGAATGTTCGCACGTGTTTCCTCGTCAAGAAATGCAAGATTATTTCTCTTTTGTTAGAGCCTTAGATTGTAAAAGATAAAAGCCGTGTGTTAGAAATATGGCCATGTTCTGGCACTGAGAACATTTTCCAGTACTTTGTTATTCTTATTTGCTCGGTCTTCTAATATATCATTGCGCGAGTGAGGGAGAGGGAGGGAGTGCGCGTGCCTGCGGGTGGGGAACATTTGTATAATTTGGGCTAATTTTGCTGGAGTGGTCCAAACTTTGAACTTAGAACGTAAAAGATTCTCGATAAGAATAAGATTTTTTTTTTAAACCTTCCCTTGATTCGTTTTTTAACCAATTGAATCTCCAAAAATTTCTAACTGGTCTTTCATTTTTTCCCCCCGCAGTGGTTTTCCTTTGTAAAAATGATAATTGAAGAAATCGACCTATCTTTGAACTTTTTTGTCCTCCAATTGAATTTTTAAAAACTTCCAATATTCATATATATGACATATTTGGAAAAATCAACCTCTCTGGATTTTTCTCCCTTTCAAATTGAATTCCGAAAAATTTCTAACATACCTTTGTTCTTCCTTTTAGTAATCATAAGCATGCCTTTCTATCAAGAAATTCAAAAGATTTTAGTTATTATTTTTTAAAATTTTTAAAACTTTTGATTTAACTGTTACTAATGGCTTTTGAAGGTCCTCACATTTTTTCCCCAAAAATTAAACCAAGAAATACATGTGACCAATAACTTGAAACCTCAAGTTTTTTTACTGTGCACTTGTGTCATTTTATTGAAAGTACTAATACTATTCAAATCATAGCTGAGTACTATTTCTTTCTGCTATAAATTGAATTTTAATTTATGATGTTATAAGAGACTAATCACTCTTATTATTTTCAAACTTGATTGAAAAGCTTTTTTTTTTTTTTTAAGACCAAAAATCCTACATGTACGTCCCACAAACACCAAAGCAAGTCAAAGTGGGATCCGAATGTGATACTCCTGTTCAAAAGCAGAGGGATGGTTTAAGTCAAATGCGGACAGTTTTAACGGCTCATTTCATATCGTTGCAAAAACGATGCCATTGCAGCTACATGCATGGAGTGCGAGGATTTTGCTCCACTTACTGAATCCGAACACATATCTATTCTCTATTTTTAGGGAGATTTAGATAAGACATCAAAGGAAAGAAAAGAAAGAAATGAAAAGAATATGCTTTTCTTTGTAATGTGAAGCTGGGTCGGTGGTTAGAGCAGTTAATAATGAACTTAGTTATATCAGTTATAATTCTATAAAAAAGCTGATGAAGAAGTTGATCATTTGGTTTTCTCTATCCTTGTGCTCTTCTTCCTGTCTTTCTCTCTCAATCTTTTGTTTATAAACGGTGAAAATGGGGGAGATAATCACAATGGTTGGATCTGTGATGCTTGCGGGCATGTTAATCTCAATAAAAGATCGTGGTGCCAACGTTGTGGGTACCCCAAGATTGGAGGTATTAACCATTATGCAATGAATAGGAACGTTGTTATTTCTGGAGCATTGAATAGGAGATTGGTTTTGCCCCGCTCTGTATTGTGGAGCTCTCAACTATGCCATCAAATCAAGGTGCTGTGGATGTGGTGCTTACTGTCTTGGTCATCATCAACCCAGTACCAACACTAGCATTCCCCTCCCAGCTAATCGAAGGCGTGGTGATTGGATGTGTAAAATGTCAATGTCACATGTTTTCTCTAAGATTTTATCACTTAGAATTGCGTTTTCAGTACTTTAGTTCATTTACTTAGCCATGCTAGAGTTACTGGATTTTCATCATGAATTGAATAAATATGACCCTATAAATCAAGAAACAATCGTTAAGATCAATCTTTTTCACAATATACATGTGAGAGTTCTAAATATGATTTATCCAGCTTTATTTGATCTTGAAAACTGATTTTCGTTATACCAATATTTTTTATCCACCGAGACTTGATTTTGCATCAGATTCTGATTGATGCTGTGAGGTAAAGCCAGATAAGGGATCTCTGTTTTTCTTATAATGTTACATCTACAGATCGCAAAACTTTAGACGCAGTAGGTTCAAGAAACCCAAACTAGATCTTGGTGAGATGTTAGATCCAAGTTTCACCCATTAAGCCCATTATTGCGCACCCTAAAATGAGATTGGCCCCTAAAATAAAAATTTGTTGCGATACAGAAAATCTCATATTAGATAAAGTTATATTTAATAATTAATATATAATAATAAAAAAAAGACTTATGAACTTAAGCCTTAAAATTTTGAGTTACGTTGTGGTGTTTTCCCACTACTCTTATGTGTTTCTCATCTCTCTCTATTCTTGGGCGGTTGCTAGAGCTTGGTTTCACTTGAGACCTATAAGCTGGGCTAGCTTTGATTACTAGTACAAGGATTTGATGTTTACGATATCATTCATATCATTGCAAGAACAACTCAATTCAAACGCATTTTGAATGTATATTTTTATTCGTAATGTGAAGCTGATCGAGTTGGTGGCTAGAGCGAGTAATAATTGACTTAATTATATCAGTTATAGAATTATAAAAACTGATGATGAATTTCATCCATTGGTTTTCTCTGTCCTTAAGTTATTTCCTTGTCTTTCTCTCTGAATCTCTTGTTCTCTTGTCTATAAACAGCGAAAATAGGAGACAGTGAAAGTGATTGGGTCTGTGATGCTTGCACGCATGTTAATTTCAAATGGGAGACCAAGGTGCAAATGTTATGGGTACCCCAAGAATGAAGGTCCCTGACCCTTCAATTCGTGCAAACAATAGGAATGCTTCTGGAGCATTGCTAGGAGATTGGCTTTGCACTGCCTAGAACTGTGAAGTTCACAACTTTGTAAGCTGATCAAGTTGCTTCAGATGTGGCGCTCGCCATCACGAGACTGTTGTTTTTGAAAGATCTAATGAACCCAATACGGCCAACAGCACTAGCAATGATCCCCTCCCTGCAGCTAACTGGAAGGCCAATGATTGGATGTGTAAAATGTAAGGTTTGAAAAGCTAAATCCATCATTAAACTGAACGAAAAACTCACTTAACATGGGGTTTGGTTCAGAGGAGGGGAGGCATTTTAATGACTTTTGTTTGATTCATGAAGAAAGGGGAGGGGAGCTAACTATAAAATGACATATATGCCTTTATGTTATTTTACTCCTTTTCTTTTATATAAAAAGTATTAATATCATAATTTATTTTTTATTTCTGAATCTAAAAATATTTTATCTCATCTATTTATGATATTCAACAAGAAAATTATTTATGATGAATTTTAGTAATATTTTTTTTTCAGAAAAAGGTTATTTGATTATTTTTAACAAATTATCTCATTAACTTTAATCATATTTTTCTATTTGGGTTGGAATTAAAGACATATATTTAGCGATTAATAATGGATAGCCAATGGCACATAAAAGTAGTAGCACGTTTTTTATTTGCTTGAAGTAATGATACTTAGAATATGATAAAATTAATAAGGATATTTTTATCATAAAATTTGCCTCCCCTACAAAAAATTTTCAAATTGGAGGGAGTGAAGTAAGGGGAGGTAAGGGAAGGGGGATCATTTGTGTTCCCTCATCTTCAATTTTTCTAACCAAACAACCTCTCTTCCTCCCATTTTTTTTAAGAACCTTTAACCAAAGGTTGATGGTTAGATCATGGTTGAACTATAATTGAGCAGGTTATGAGTAATTTAATATATTTTAAATTTTATATGCTAAATGTTATATTAAAAATGAAATTTTGTAAAATATAATTTCACAAGGATTAAATTTATAAGGCAAGATAGAATGAATTTTTACTTTTTATGACATATCACTCTATTAGCATGTAATATTTAATATAAAAAATTAAAAAATATCACCATAAAAATTATTCTGAACTTATTTAATATTTAAAAACACTCATTCTTTAATCATTATATATAAAAATGACAAAGTATCAAGCACTTTTTGGAGATTTTTTAAAATTAAATTAATTATAATGAAGTTTAAGAAAATACAGATAAATAATTTAAAGTATAAAAATTAATTATAGGTGCTTACACTAAAAAATAATTAAAGACTTAATTAAAATAACTCAACAAAGAAAGGGGGGTGGAGGAAAAGGAAGAAAGCAAAGTACTGTTATTGAGAATGATAGAGTCCCACGTGGAATGATAGTGAGTACTCCACTAGACTGATTGCCTGTGAAACAACGCGTCGCTGCGCTCAAGCTGTGATGGCACGGGGTTGAGTTTTCTAAATTCAAAAATTACAGCCCTTGACCCAAGTGAAATTACAAGCTTTGCCTTAAAGAAGAGAAAAGAAAGTTGAATCCGGTTCATGAGTTTAGAACTAGTTAGAGTCACAAGCCCGCAGGTTGGCCCGAAAAAATGGGCCTACTTTTTTTTAAAAAATAAGTTAGTTCAGCCCAGCCCATAGAATTAACACAGGCTAACTTTTGCCTTTTTAAAATAAAAAAATTATAAGTCAAGTGACATAGTTACTTTAAAAATTTCAGGATATTGATACAGAGATATTTATAATATATATATATATATTTTAACATTTTATGATGTAGTACAAGTATTTTAATTTTGAAACAAAAATTTTTAAAGTAATGTAAGAATATTTATAACAATTAATCAAAATATTAAATGTGTTTTCAAGTTTTTAAGTAATATAGACAAAATTAATTGGAACAAAATCATATTATAAATGTTAAAATATATGATATATATATGTGTGTGTGTGCGCGCGCGCGCGCTAAAATATTCTGTAAGTATCATTTCAGACATGAATGTGTTTATTTTTTTGAAGTATTTGTGTTTCATAGCCCTTAATCTCTCCCTTTAGCCTTTGGCCTTCCCTTCCCCTTCAAAGATTCACTCCTGCATTTCATTAGTGCCTGGGGCTGGGGTGTTCCAATATATTGAAGAAGGTGAAAGTGAAGGCGCTTTTGGTTTTGGAGAACTAGTTGCCCGTCACATTGCAGGAATGTGAAAGTGCAGGGCAACCTATAGTAACATTGCATTTGCTCTCTTTAAAAAGCTTTGTGGCATGTTTGGTAGAGGAATGACATAAGCAAGAAAAGGAGAGGGCAGAGGAGGGAAAGAAGGGACAGCTTTCTTGCTCTGTTTCATACTTGATAGTTTCTATGTGAACTTGGGGATTGGGTTAGGAAGGAAAGGAGAGAAAGGGTTTTTAATATATTCATTTGACTAAGTGTCTGATTATTCCTCTCTTTCTTTTATAATGAACAATAGGTAAATTCAGTTACAGGCGTTAAATTAAATATATAATGAAAGATAAATGCTCATCTATTTTCAATATGAGATAAAAACAATCAATTCATACAGCTTTAAAAAATTAGTTAAGTATGATAATTATGTTTGAAATTAAAAATTTTGAACTAAATTATTTTTGTAATTAATGAAATAAATTTGTCTCATAAAGAAAATTGACTTTTTGAGGGGTGATTTAAAAAAAATGTGATAAATACTTCATACTTTTTCATTTAAAAATATAAAGTATTTTTTTAATATAAAATGTTTAAAAATATAAGATATTATGGATCTTTCAAATTGTAATTACTGATTTTTTTTTTCAAAAATACTCTAAGGGGTGAAATAAATAAAGTTTTCTAATAGAAACTTCTTATTAAGTAGAAGTAAACATGAAAAAAAACTCTAATTTTAAATGTAATTAACTAATTTATTAAAATATAATTTGATTAAAAATATTTTATAATATTATATGGATGGAGTGAAATTTATATCTTGTAAAAAGAAACAAGGAGGCATATGTCAATTTATCTCATGATAAAAAATTTAGGGAATAGCGGTTGAAAGTTTAAATTTCAATCACTGTATATGTAATAATTTATTTAAAAGATGTCTATTTTTTATTTCTCTATCTCCAATATCTTCAAAGCGATAATTTTTATTGTCAACGTAGCTTACCCTTGTGCTATAAAAAAAAATGGGGGAGTAGTCTTTTTTTCTTTTTCAATACCGCACTTAAAAAAATTCACCAAATTCTCTCATTTATTAATGGTCATATATCTCATCTTTAATAAAGGCATAAATGGAAAATTATAATAAATGGTAGCAAATGATTAATCAATTCCTTTCAACTTATAAACTGTTACAGTCCCAAAATTCTATTATGAATAAAAATAGAAGTAGTCATATCTAATGAGATCAAAAGGACTTATTGAACCACATCCTATATTGTAATGCTATAATATTTAATCAGATTGTTGATACTCACAATTTATTATTATTTTTTGATTTTAAAAGCACAATTTATTAATTGATTAAAAAACATTTGAACTTTTTTGGCCGACAATTAAAAAAAATTTGCATTTATTGTCACAATTTTATTTACTGCAACCGGATAAATTCAGATTCAGACTTCAATGAAAAAATATACTCGTAATACCGTGTCACAGAACTATTTTCTCCGCAGACATTACTATAAATATACTTTCGACGCATTCCAAATGTGACCTAGTACATGGTACTAATCGTAGCCATATTAATCAGTTAATTCTGCGCTTATTCTTTGCCCCAAGAAATCACATTTTATCATAAATACTAGAAATTAGGAAGAGAGTAGAGAAATTCAAAAATAAAAAATAAGAAAATAAGAGAAAGAAAACTTTTCTTATTTTGATGTGTGTAATAAGAAAATAGGAGTACTTATATAAAGATATGTAATTCAAATCTCATAAAAATATACAAATTGATGGTAATAAAATATATTATAGAATAATAATGGAGGTGTTGAAAGGTACGGTGAGATAATGGATATGCACGTGATATTCTAAAATTTATGACACATTTGTTTAATAATAATAATAATAATAATAATAATGTATAATTACATTGAAGAACCCATATAAAAAAAATTAATTACTCTAAATTGCATTAATAAGCATTAATAACTGACACAAGACTATTATATTAATTGTTAATTAATCTTATAATAATTAATTTTTTTATGTGAGATATGTATATAATTTTTTTAATAATAATAATAATATAAGATGATATATGCAGGCCAAAAAATAATTTTATCAAAATTACCTTAATATTGTTTGATTCTTGCGTGATTAAAGCTTCCAGATTAAGGAATCCTAACGGCTTTATGTGGGACTTAACTGTGAGGGGATTCATTGCTCTTTTGCATCTAGGTTTTGTGATAGGCGGCTAGGGTTTTGACTTTCTTTTTGCTATAAATCTCTAAAACCTTGCTCTTGCCTCCAAACATTCTTTTTATTTTCTACGAGGTAATACAGTTTTTTAGTCTTTGAGCTCCTAAATTGATCTGATTAAAACCCGAACAAATTCCAAACCTCCCAGCCACCTGTTTGATTCAATCCCCAGTTTGATTCCGTACATAATATCGGTTCCTGTTAATCTTGAAATTCTTTGATTTAATCCCTCAGAATTAGGCGTTAGCCCATACTTTGTCTGTGATTAAGTAGTCCTTTTGCTCATTCATTCCTTCAAAACATATACCATTTTCTTGAAGCAGCCATAGTTATCGAATCCACTCAGCATTACAGGCTCTTCTACCATGGGATCCATTATCGGAGGGATCGTCTGAATTCAGTACATTCTATCATCATTTATTTGATTGGATTGGATCAATTTCACCTGTGAGAATTTTGCAATGAGTTTTCCTGATCATCACTCTGGCTTCATGCTATCGCCGCTACCATTTGCGGCGGACGAAGATTCCAATGGAAGGTGGCCGCAATTCCCAATCAACAACGAACTATTCGATTCACGTTCAACATTTGATCATCTTCCTCCGTTCAAGCGGCCCAGAACATCCGAAAGCAGTCACTTCGATCACTCGCCATTCCCGCCGCCCAGGATGCACCACCTTCAAAATCCTCCGACAAACAGAGGAGGAACGAGCCACATTTTTTACAAGACTCGCCCTTGTGCTAAATTCAAAATGGGCACCTGTAGGAACGGCGAGAATTGCAATTTTGCTCATGGCGAAGAGGACATGAGGCAGCCACCACCAAATTGGCAGGCACTTGTTGGTTTGCGCGATGAAGAACGGCCGTCTGGAAACTGGGACGATGACCAGAAAATCATACATAAGATGAAGCTGTGCAAGAAGTATTACAATGGTGAGGAATGTCCTTATGGTGAAAGGTGCAATTTTCTTCATGAAGACCCGTCCAAGTTCAGGGATGATGCAGGGAGGAGCAGGGAGAGCTCAGCTATAAGCCTTGTGGCTAATGGATCTCCAAAGTCGCACTTGAATGGCCCTAATAATTCAGACAATAATAAGACTGTCAACTCTGGTTGTGATGGTTTTAGAACAAATGGGAAGGCTCCTTTCTGGAAGACCAAGTTATGTAGCAAGTGGGAGACAACAGGACAGTGCCCTTTCGGCGATAAATGTCATTTTGCTCATGGACAAGCAGGTTTGTGCTTCAGATATGATGCAGAGGCACTTTAAATCACACATACACTTCCATTTTCATGTTTGTTTGATTATGTCCTAGCCTTGCTGGTCATGCTTAGGGGTACTGACATTGTAACCCCAAAAAAAAAAAAAATCTGCTCATGTTTATGCCCATGTATCATTTCCTTTTGAGTAAAATTGTTGACATCCTAACCTTTAGAAAGGAATCTTTGTCGCGTTAGACTGTTACTGATATTTTGAATTACATTTGACATTCTGAATCCAAATTTATGATGTTATACCTCAACCTTTTCGATTAATGACATTAATGTCTTAATCTTTAAAAAGATAGTGTCTTTCGTTTTAAATTTTTAGTGATGTTTTAAATTACATATGATATGCACGTTGATTAAATTATAGGTGAATCTTTTAAATTTTTTCATGGATCCATGTTACATTTTAAAATGTCTTTCATTCTAGTGGTTTGAGAGTGTAAATTACACTTGAATCTTAAATACTTATTACCTTACGCTAAAAGCTTTTGTGTTCATGTTCGAGTCTATAACTTTTTAGCAAATGCATTAACAGATGTTATTCTTATCACAATTATAACATTGCTAGATTATACTTTTGAGGTCGTACGTTCACCGGACCAATGGGCAAGATAATTATGTTTATAATTGTTGGAATTCTCTTATTAGCATGGGTGGATTGCATTTGTGTTTGGCCTTTGGCGTTTGCTGATAGAAGAGATGCATCTAATGGACTTTATTTGTTAAAATCTGTATCTCCATTTAGACATGAATTGCTTCCATGATTATCACATGATTAGGACATCAAGTATCACTCTTGATAATCAGATATTAGATGTCTTCAAATCTCATCTGAGTTTTGAAATTTGAAGTAAAAACCTTTTAACTAAAATTGATTTAGTTATCTATTGACTTCTGATGCTCTATGCTATCAAATTAGAGTTACAAGCGCCTTGTGGACGCGGTGAAGCAGAAGCTATAGGAGCACAATCAATTCCAATAAATGATATAACTCCTATAAACACTGCAAGTATACTTGATTCAAAAGAAGAGGAGCAGAACAAGAAGAATTTGCTGAAGTGGAAAATAAATAAGAAGGTCAATCGAATTTATGGTGATTGGCTCGATGATTTTCCATTTCCAAGGTAGGTAGTGGGATAGCTAGAGTTTGAATCTTGGAAAGTTTGCTTTCCGTGAAATTTTGATAATATGGGGTCACTTATGCTTGGTGATCACTTCATTGGTTTATTTATTTTCTTCTTTTTTTATGGGTTTCGATAGTTAATTTTTTGTTCAAAAGGGTCCATTGTATTTCTAATGGGTTGAGATGATTCTCCAAGTTTTAAGGGCATGCTCTGAACAAATCATGTATTCAATTTCTATTTTATATATGAAAATATGATTATTCAAATGGCATAGCCTTTAAATCTAGCTCTTTTATTGAAGATTCTAGTAGCATGTTTTCATACGTCGACATCTTTCTCTTCCTTGATACATGGGGGTCTGGGATTAATCCCTAAGTGGTTCAAGAAAAAATATTCTATGAAAATTAATCTTCAAATTGTGAAAATATAATGCCTTCAATTTACAGGCGAAAAAGCAAACAAATTGCATTCTCAATATTCTTATTAAAATATGTGAAAAAATATTTAAGAAATAAAAAATCTATTTTTTTTTCTAAAATTGCAAATCATTGATGAATTTCTCATTTGCCAACAATTCATAGATGACTTATGACTTGTAAATAAAGATGATTGATATATGAATATGGAGTAATTGAATAGTTGTGTAGTGCAAAAATTGGTCTTCAATATGATAAAAAAAAATTAAAAGTATTTAATTTTTTTAATTTTACCTCTTATTTATTTATTATGATTTAAATTTTTAGATAATGATTTATTATATTTATTAACTCAAAAGTTACATATTTTTGAATAAATTTAAAAACACAACTATATTTTTTAATAAGTACAAAGATTAAATTTATTTTATATTAAAGACCAATTTGACATGAGTACACCTATTTATTTTTTGGTGTAAAAGAATGGAAAGAGACTGTATAACAAACAGATAACAAAGAGATTTTTTGATTCCTATCCCAAGGTGAATCAGGACCCTTTGCCCCTATCTGGTACATGTTATTAGGGGGTTGGGATTGAGATTGAGATTGAAACAAAATTTAGGTAATATCATTTTTGACATATTTGGCATGAAACATTCAACAATTCTTAGGTTTGTTTAGTCTCATTTAAGTGAAAATATTCAAACACACCACTCCTTGATATTGTAAAATTATTATGGGATTAAAATTTTCTTAATTGAAATGCCTTTGTAAAAATATCTAAATTTTCTCCTCTCTCAAAAAATTTTAGTACTTCACCTTCTTTTTTTGCCATTGATAACTTCTAGCACTCCACCTTCTTTTTTTGTCATCAACGACCTTTGGCCATTCACCTTGCTTCTCCTCCGTTGGCAACAATTCCTTTATTGATCACCATCGCAACATGAAGCGCTCTTTTCCATTTCTTTTGTTGATCTCATCTCACATGCGCATCTCTATCAATCCACCTCTATCAATCAATCTCCATCATCACATAACATTGCAAGGCTTCATCTTTGGAGCAAAAAGTGATTGCAGCAAGCAAGCAGAGAGCGAGAGTGAGCAAGGAAAAGGGAGGGATGGGTTTAATTGCCCGCAACAGAAAATATGATTTTTTAGGGTTACAAATTTTTTTTAATTATATAAGGTATTGTGATATTTTCATAATTTATATTTAATTATAACATAAAATAAAAAAAGTATTTTTTATAATTAATATTTCATATTAAATATAATTTTAAAACTTTATTTTTCAATTCCAATCTCAATTTTAATATCAATGCGAATCTCAACCCTTCCAAACTTGAGCACGTGTATAAAAAAGGGCCTTATTATCGGTAACAAAGTCAGCATCGTCACTCTTGACACGGCATAATTCGAAGGGGAGTAACCACGGGCACTTCCCGTTACCTTCCATTCTTCTTCCTTCAACACATACCTCTGCTCAATGCAAGAAAATGATAGAGGTTCTCCCCTTTCCTTCATCCTCTGCCATCTCCTCCATAATTCCCGCTTCACTCCACATCTTCACTCTATCCAGAGCTTTCTCACCGTACAAGGCTTCCCTCACCACCATGTCCATAAACTTGCACCCTCCTGCCTACGCTGACAATACGCCATTATCCAGACCCCCCAAAGCTAGTGACCCCTTTTCACCCACCGGAGCTCTTGAATACCTGAAATTTCAACTTTCTGCGCCCACTCAACCTTCACCCACCCCACGTTTAAAGGTTTTGCCTTTCAGAAACGGGAGGCCCTTAGCCTCTTCTTCGACGGCTCACTCCAGAGATTCCCAGCAAATTTGGCATCTGGGTTGGATCAATTTGGGTGATCTCAAGGGGCTTTTGGAAATTTCTAGTGGACGATTGAGCGGAGACTCTTTGGTGTACGTAGGCTCGTGTTCAGAAGACGACGTCGTTTACTGGGCAGTTGACGTTTCTTCTGAGAGTGGCTTGTTGGCTGTATTAGGAAGCAAGAACTTATGTTTCGTGGACCTGAGATCGCTCATGGTTGCCTCCGATTGGTCGGACTTGCAAGCGATGGGTAACTTGGCTATTGCTGGTCGTGTAAGTTATGCTCTTTCGCTCCTTCTTCGTATAATTTGTTTTTGTCGTTTCATCTTAACCATAAGAGCCAACCTTAGCCTTTGCAGTAATTTATGTGAGTTTTCCTTCAGCTATTTCAAAAGTATTACCTTGTGTTTTATGATTGTACCGGGTTAGAACTGTCTTCTAAATTGGAATTCTGAAATTAGCTAAGCTGCTTCTTTTGGCTAAACAAGCTAAGGAACCTGTTCACATTAATATTCGCCCTCTTTTGTTTTACTATTCCATTTATGTTTTAGCTTGACTTCAGTAAAGCAGAGATGATTTTAATCTTTCTTACTAGTCCAAACACTATTAGAAGCTGCACTCGCTTGTGGATTTCTCTTATTCGTTGGCAATGCACATTAAACATGCAAAAAAGTGGCTTGCAAGTAGATAGCTTTGCCATTTTATCGATTTTTAGTCTATGATACATGTATGATCAGTGTCTCTCTAATTGCTGGGTTTGGCCAGGCCAGGGCGCTGCTAGAATGGCATAATATATCACAATTTTGTGGACATTGTGGAGAGAAAACAGTCACTATAGAAGCTGGGAGGCGGAAGCAATGTTCAAAGGAATCGTGCCGACAGAGGATATATCCACGAGTTGACCCGGTTTGCTATTGTTCTTAGTGGTGATTAATCAATAGAGGTGAGTGTTTTGCTGATTTCCCTGATTATGTGATTTTATGCAGGTGGTCATTATGTTAGTCATTGATCGAGAGAATGACAGCATCCTTTTGGGTCGAAAATCAAGCTTTGTCCCTAGAATGTGGAGCTGCTTAGCAGGTTTCATAGAGGTAGATGTCTTCGTCAACTTTAAGACTATTCATTTTGTTGGGACTCAAACGCTGCTATTGTACCTTCAAACAATACGGCTTATTCCCATCATTAAATCTGAACTGATTAAATATGAGGGAAAATCATTTAAGTACAACAATAGCAAATGGGATAAAAGATGGTAGTAATTAAAAAAAAAAAAAAAGACAGTCTCCTGTCTGGGATTTTAGAAAAACTCTGTTCTGTGTCGTCTGAAATTTAGAGCTTCTTTTCATTCTTGTAATTGGTAAGCATTGTGGGTGCAGACGGACAAAAAAAGTTACTAGGATTTGAACTGTCGAAAGTTTCACTTTCTCCTAACAAGGGAAAAGTGATGCCACTCAAAACAGGTTTCATTGGCTTGAGGATCAATTGTATGCATGGAAATTAGTCGTTTCAGAACTAATTTATTTTTCAACATTCTGTAAGCTTATATGCTCATGCTGCATTCAGCCAGGGGAAAGTTTGGAGGAGGCTGTGAGAAGAGAAACATGGGAAGAGACAGGTGTTGAAGTGGGAGATGTTGTGTATCACAGTTCTCAGCCGTGGCCTGGTATAACTTATGATGCACGTCTTAAAGTTAATGTAACTGCAAACTGTGATGTTTCTGTCAAGACGAAGGGCAGAGAAGGGAGATATTCATTCTTCTTCCATCTTTACTATGACATGCGGGAACATTGGGAACCGTTGGAAACCCCCAGCTGGTTGGATAATCTTCATAATTCATACTCGTAACCTACCTAAATGATTGATTTCTTGAAAATGCTTGAGACTCTGAATCTGAAAGTAGTAACTTTTCCCCTTAGCATGTTAAGAATTAGAAGCTGTTAGGCACAAATTAACATGAACTGGTATAATGGATGACTAGACATGATCTTGTTTGTATATTTCTTACGAGAATTTTAATTACATGCTTCTCCCTACTTCTGTCAATTGATAATGTTTTCTCCATTGGCTTTGTTCCTAGTTGGACCAAGTAGCATGTCATGCCAGCTGATGGTTGGGTTCTTTGCATATGCAAAATCGCTTGACATAAATGTGGACAACAAGGAGTTAGAAGGTACCTTGACTGCATTTAGCTTTACATTATTAGGTTCTTCAATGAACCCTAAAGAAAATAAAAAATCTTACCAAGTTTTGTTCCTTCTTTGCTTTGCTTTTGTTTACTTGATCTGCAAATTGCATGGGTAGATGCTCAGTGGTACAGTAGAGAAGCTGTTAGAGAAGCATTGACAGTAGCAGAGTACAAGAAAGCCCAAAGAACTGCAGCATCAAAGGTAGAACAAATGTGTAAGGGAGTGGAGAAAAGTCACAGCCTGACTGCAGATTTTAACGTGGAAAGTGGTGAACTTGCTTCCATGTTTGTCCCTGGACCCCATGCAATAGCCCATCATCTGATTTCCTCTTGGGCCTTCCAAGATTTACCTACTGGTATTCCTTGCCGTTGACACCAACCTGCTGGTTCTTCTGTCTCCAAGTTTGTGGAATTGTCTGAAATTCGTTTGTGTTATATTTCTCTCCTACTTGTTGTACAGATTTTGCACCTCTTGACTGGGAGAGATCTAGTCATATTTTGCAGTCTGCTTTACTATTTCCTCACATAGAGATTATTCTATAGTGGACACGTTCTTACTTTGGTTTCTTGTCTTAGTTTCAATTTCAATGTAAATATCTTTCTTGGCTTAACTAAAATCAAAATAATAATTAGTTATAGAACAAATAATTAAGTCATGAACAATATGACCTTGCTACAAAGTTTCTATCATGGACAAAATGTAACTAAATTTACATAAACATTTACATGTTATGTTATTATTGAAAATTATAAAAAAAGGCATGAACACTATCCAACCAATATATTGCATGAAAAATGATTCCATCCGATTTTATATATAAAGTGGATAAAATTATTTTTTTAGCTCTATTTATAAAGTATGGCACTAAATTTTTATCGTATGTTTCTCCTTTTACTTTCTATTAAATATTAGTAAAAATGTATGTAATTAATATATATATATATATATTTAATAAAAATATTTTTAAGAGAGCTAATAAATTTTAAAGTTTTTTAAGAAGTAATTTTTTTTTTAATCAACAAACATGTAGCTTAATTGGTAAGTGATTGTGTTAACTTCACTAATAATCTCAAATTTAAATTATAAGTATGCAGTTATATTAAATATTTATTGGGAGAATTTTATTATTAGCATCGTACCTGGCTCAACCCTTAAATAATAGGTGACAAAAAGGGAGAAGTAATTTTTTTATATATAATAAGTAGTTTTTCAATATTCAGATATTTATTTTCAAGACATGTCCGTTCATCCTGCGCAATGGGACGATGTTGCGACTTGCGAGAGTTACTCCATTAAAATGGTGCGCGCTCTGACATGGCCCAATATGGCATCAACCAAGCCAGTGATCCATCATCCATCACATTCTCGAATAGATTCATCACTTTCTCGCCCCACCCGGTCGCCCCCCAACAAAGGGAAGGCCCTCCTTGTTACTTAGCAGTCGGTCCCCTCTAAAGTTGGAGACTTGAGTTAGAGCCTAGAGCCCTCATTGAGTCATTCCACGACATCACTTGGATTCGTTTCTTGCCTCAGCAAACTGAAAATGTCAACTTTTTTCCGAAGGCTGGCAAGAGCCACTCCGATTTCTTTCACAAATCTCGGTGGCCATTCCAAATCCAGTCACACTGAGTTTCGCGTTCCTTTTGGTGCAATTGCTGCGATCAGCGGTGGATTCTCCTACTTTTACTACTATTCGTCACCCGACCTGGTAATTTCTTATTATATTCTCAGTTTGGGTTTTCTCCTGCTGGGAATTTCTTATGATATCTTGCTCTTTTTTTTTCCCCACATTTGATCGCTAAAGCGGTGTGCAGCAGTTGTTTGCTTGCTCAATTGCTGCTCTGTAATGTGAAATATATTACGGAACATAAGTTGTCATTCTAGTGGATCAAATTGAAGAGTTGTTTTCTATGGATCAAATTGCGCTTGCTTATTTTTTGTGTATATGTTCGGATTGTTGGCGGCTCGAAAAGAGAGCTTATAGTATTTGAAGAAGTTTGTTGCGCTCAAACCTATTGGGCCGATCATTCGGTGGATGAAAATTAGTGTCCCTGAAGCCTGAGAGATATATGGGAAGAAAGAAATGAAGGAATAAGAAATTACGGATAGAGAATTGTAAAATGTCAGATGTGATTAGGATTGAGCTGTTAATGAGATGAATTTAATTAGTTGGAACAATGTTGTCTGATAGTCATGAATAATGTATGCTTAATATTTGGTTCGAATATTTTGCGAGGGACAGCATCATAATCAAAAGTTTTTTTTTTCCAAAAAAAAAAAATCTTAAATGTGTAATTTGTCTGAAATAACTGCACTTTGTTTTTATTTTACTTGAATAGCTTGTTCTTGTATCAGTTCATGTCATGATCAGAGTACTCAAGTGATGTCCATTTGCAGGTTCATTTGGAAGAAATAAAAGAAGAGAAAAGTCAAAATATTGGTGAGTGTCCTATTCCTCTGTTGGTGACCAACGTATCACACAAGCACCAGCTTACATGAATATAATTATTTGTAACTGCCCATCATGGGTACAAATTTACAGCGAGAACTATTTATTGTTATGACTTGTCATTATAATGATTCATGAATGGACGTAAGAGTCCTAAAGTCAATATTCAAGAAACATTATGGGAACTGTTTGTTTCGAGAACAAATATTGTGGCAAAGATATTTCTCTTTTTTATAAATTTTTTCTTGGTTTATGGCACATGGTAGTTGAATTTGTTTTATTTCAAGGATTTCATAAAGAAGATTGAGGATTTCTTCTTGTCATTTCAGCTTTGGTTCCTGATAAATGGATCGAATTTAAGTTGCAAGACACTGCCAGGGTTAGTCACAATTCCAAGTTATTCAGGTATACTGTATAGGACAAACACAAATTATAAATTTGTTTTGCATACTTTTTTGATCAGCTGCACAATGTATGATGTTAAAGGTATTAATCACTATCTGATTTAGAAGTGTGATGCTGTTTTTCTTTTCATTGTCCTCTGACTTTGTTGACTCATGTCACTCAGTTTTCAAATAAAAGTATGTAATCCACATGAAATGTCCCTCCTGGTATCCAATTAGCACTTTCCTTAGCAAAGTCATCATGCTATATCCTTTGTGACGTGCAGCTTAAGTTAATGTTCAGTCTTTCTGGGGGAAGTTGGGTATACATCAGTATCTCCATGAGGGAAGCAATTCAGAAAAATATTTCAGTCTAGACTGCAAATGCAATGGCCTAAAATATATATCTTGAGCATCATCTTTTTGGCATTATATGTGCTGTTAATATTGAAGCATTGGTACTTATCACATCTCTTTTATAGATTTTTGTTATTTTATTTGTTCCTCAGTAATTCTTTTGAACCGTATGAGGATAACTAATTTGTTTATCATATAATGTGTGCCAAGGTCCACGGCTTAAGTATAAAGTGCTATCAATTAATCAATGTTGAATTTTATTATGAATTGTATACTTCAAACAGTAAAATGGAATCAAGCTTTTCATAATTATATGACTTTCATGTATGTAAATGCCTCTCTTGGTGTGATACTGTGGCCTACCTTTTCTTTTAGCATAACTCTCCTCTCTGTATTTCAGGTTTTCATTTGACCCTGATAAGAAGCTGGGTTTGGATGTTGCCTCTTGCATCCTTACAAGGTTTATTATACTGTTTATAATTCATATGGTTTAAAAATAGACTGTGGAATTTTAGATTGTGTTTCACTGTGCTGTGCCCTCAAATCATCCCTGAAATTGCAGGGCTCCATTGGGGCAAGATGCTGAAGGAAAACCAAAATATGTCATTCGTCCGTAAGTTTCTTTTCTTTTCTTTTCTTTTCTTTTTTTTTTTTTGGCTGACAGTGATTACTTTGTTGAGCCACTTTGAATCTTATAGCGTAAAGTTCATTTTGTGAGCTGTGTATTCTTACACCATTACCACATCCCCTCCACTGGTAGGAATGTAACAAAGATTTACCTTACACTAGCACCAGAAAAGAGAGTAGCAATGACTATGCTTTATAACATATTGCCTTGAAGGCTGCTAAGATTTTATCCTCCTATTACAAGAGCTAGTTGTGTGTTGGCCTATTTTCTTTGTATTCTTTTTTGCGGAGTTGGAGGTGATATGATGGTGTTAAAACATCTGAAAATAAGGAAGCAAGGAATAGAGTTCTCCAGGATATTGACTCTGGCACAATCAGCAAATAAGGAAGCATCAAACTAAAAAGTAAAAGAAATGCTGCTACTATGATTTACAATCATGACCTATTCTTGCTTTTCTTTCATTTCATATCTTGTAATACACTTCTAACGTGGAATGTATTTGCATGTTATAATTAGTCGCTTGAATATAATCTAAAACTGACTTTAGTCTTTGTTATTGTACGGAATTATTTTTTTACTATAATAAGAGTCTAATTTTGTTGAAGTAAAGGATGGAAGTACCCACCCAGTGGGATAAGGCTTGTTATTGTTGTTGGAAAGATGGAAGTGGAAGTCTGAGAAGAATAAAGCTCTAAAGCTTGCTTTTAATTTGGATGTCATGTTTTAGATACTTTAATTTCTTTGCTTATTGATTTAATATTTAAGAAGGCATTTATGTTTCATACCCCAGGTATACTCCTATATCAGATCCAGAATCTAAGGGATACTTTGATTTGTTGATCAAGGTATGTCACTCATCGAGGGAATTACAGTTCAAGTTTTGTTGTTCATTATAGTACACAACTGAAAGAGCTGCTTGAGTGCTTTATGTTTCAAATTGTTGCAGGTGTATCCTGAAGGAAAAATGAGTCAGCATTTTGCCAGCTTAAAACCAGGCGATGTGGTTGAAGTGAAAGGGTATATCATTTGCAATAGCCTTGAAGGATTGACTGAATACTTTTCTTGCCTTAACTTTATTTGTGAATGTTATTGCTTTTCCCAGGCCCATTGAAAAGCTCCGATATACTCCCAACATGAAGAAGCATATTGGCATGGTAAGTCTCTTGATTATGGCTTTCATTGGCAGTGATGAAAACTGGGATTCAGCATTGAACTGTTGATTATCATGATTTAGAATTTTAGATTCGTCAGTGCTCTCTGTGTGTGTGTGTGTGTGTTGTAACCATGTTTGCAAATCTGGTGGAGTGTCCAACTCGTAGTTGTTAATGGCAGGTTGCATGTGGTGCAGCGCTTGCCATGTAACACTTATCTATCTAAATTCTCAAGCTATGCATATTTGGTCTTTATTAATCTGCTTTTTATTGTGCCACTGAGATTGCTGGAGGCACAGGAATTACTCCAATGCTTCAGGTAATTGAAGCTATATTGAAGAATCCTGATGACAAAACTCAGGTAGGCTATGGGTCTCTTTGTTCACTCGATCTGTCCATAACTTTTCCTAAATATTTTCTAAAATTAGATTGTGAACTAAATATTTTTCTTTTTAATTATGAAGCGATATCAGTACATCAAATTATATGCATATGTCTTAGGGTGTATCTGCCCATCTCATCATCGTCAACAAGGTGGTGATTGGTCAAAGAACCAGAAATTACCAGGCAAATTATGAGATATAGTGGCCAAAATATAAGCACATTCTGTGGCCTTCCAGTAAAGAAACTTAACAGATATTCCAAGTCTTGAGTGAGCTAACCATTTTATGATCAATATTTTAGTTTTGATTTATTGAAAGTTTTTAGGAAATTTGACTCTTGTTTTCCAAAATACCGTAGGGGTCATTTTCTTTATGCAAAGTTCTTTTCTTTTGTTATTCTAATAAACAAGAGAAAATCATAATTCATAGCATATGTTGGCCTTTTACCTTTACAGATATCATTGCTTTATGCTAATATCTCTCCAGATGACATCCTACTCAAACAAAGGCTTGATGTTTTAGCAACTAGCCATCCGAACTTAAAGGTAATGTCATTTTCTAACTACTCTTTTGATCGTATTTATAAATTACTTCCAATATGTTTTCTAGAACTAAATGAAATTTTAAAACTCATTAATTATGTCTAAAAATTTAACAAGTTTCCAGCTTTGCCTTATTGAATATACATGCTTTAATGGTGCACTTCCCCTCACCAACATTTAATGGGGAGTAAAAAAGAAAATTTATAACTAAAGTTTAATGATGTGATGTAAATAGGAAAAAAAAAATCTCTCTGCCTTATAAATAAGACTGGAGATAGTAGTTACTATTTATGCTCTAAAGTCAAATTTCATTAATCAAATCTTCTTGAAAAAATTTTCAGGTATTCTACACTGTAGACATTCCAACGAAGAATTGGAGAGGTGGTGTAGGTTACATATCAAAGGACATGGCTCAAAAAGGCTTACCTGCTCCTAGTGATGATACTCTTGTCCTTGTAAGTTTTTGCTTTTGCAAACATGTCCATAAAAGATTCTAAATAAGATTTGGCACTTTCTTTGTTGCCACTTTTCATACATAGAAACAATTTGAACCTCCAAGGCATATATGTTTTAGCATCCCTATTATGAAATTTTGGAACTTCTGTACCTATCACGAGCCCCTTCCAAATGAGGGCCCATCACAGATATTCTGCTTTCCAAGCTCCAGAAGGCTTATGCACTTAATCTTGATCTCCACCGAAAGATTTAGTATAATCATTGACTTATGACAAGATTTAAGATTATTTGAATCTTTCTGGGACATCATTAAGTGATACTTTTCTTATAAGTTCGTCGTCATGAGTCAGTTATTTTATTTCCTGGTCAGGCATTGATTTATTCTTGTTATTGGAAAAGCTATTATTAGAATTGTTATTGTTTCAAACATTTTCGACTGATGTGACCTATTCCTGCACGAGAAGGTATGTGGACCCCCAGGTATGATGCAACATGTATCTGGTGAAAAGGCTAAAGACTGGACCCAAGGAGAGGTATAAAATTGTTACGTTTTAGTTGTTTGCGTGACCGAGTTTGTCCGAATCTGAGTGCTCTTTCTGGGTGATTATCTGCAGGTTTCTGGCATACTCAAAGAGCTTGGATACACTGAGCAAATGGTTTATAAATTTTGAGAAATATGAGATTGTAGCATCTGATTTGACTATGGGTGCGGAATTTGTAGGATGAAGTCATTTTCTCAGGAACAACGGCTGGCCGCGGATGAATTCAAACTTTGAAGTCCTGAAATGCATAACATGGATAGAGAAATGATGATTGTTGGCCTTTTGAATTCTGAAAATTTTGTAGCTGGCAATTTGGTTGTTCATGGCCTGAGCCTGTGACGGTCAATAAAGGGTAATTCCCTTTTAGGGTTAACTTACACTCCCCACTGTTAAAACATCTTTTTTAAGAAAATTCAGGTGCAGTTTTTAATGTCTCTTCCAAAATTTCTAATAAAATCATGAAGCTATATATTTTTATAGCTTGGTTTTAAATTATTTTTATTGAAGAATTTAGTAGTGAATATTTCAATAGTATTTTTACTATGAGTTGCCTTGCTTTGTCTTATTGTGCTGCAATGTTCATGCCCAAAAAAAGAAGAATGAATGATAAAAAGATCTTAAAATGACTAATTAATTCAAATTAAATTTTAAGTGTCAAACTTCAAAATGAATTTGTAACTTATTTTTTAAATTTTAATGTGGTTGAAGAAAAAAAAAATTATTTTTTTTGTTAAAATTTGAAATATAAATTATAAATTCATCACAATAGAGTTGTAAAATTAAGAAATTGAATTATAAATTTTTAAAATTTAACATTTAAAATTTAATTTGAATTAATTAAATTTTTTTAAAAGCTTTATGTTATTCTCCCAAAAAATTACGAGTTGTGTGGCATTGATATCATCTTCAATGGAGTACTTTTGTAGAGGTTTAATTTTAAATCAAAATCAATATAGTATGAAAATATAAATCAAGGGATTGAATTAAACACACACTTTGATAGAAAATCAATTAAACGTTTTTCACTCTCTCTTTTTGAGTATCAAGCAGGGCAAAATCAGTTTTTTTCATGCAAGTAAACCTGAACTTAGAAATGTTCTTCAATCACTTCGTTGATAAAAGTGGAATGACACAAAAAAAAAAAAAAAATAGCATGCCCACGTGCAAAGATGACACGCACAGATCAAAAAACGCTCTTTGTTTTTAAAAATATGAAGTGTTCTTTTTTAAAATTTTAATTTAACTTGTCATTTATAAATGCATATTTGTCTATTCACTAACAAAATTTGTCAATGATAACTTCTATAAGTTCTTTTTTATGCTTGTTAGTTGTTATAATATGAAGTGGATTTTTTAAAATCGTAACATAGCTTGTCATTTTAATAAGGCATAGTTGTAAATTTATTAGAAGAACCTATTAACAATATTTTCTAGAAATTCAATTTTGTTGACTTGTTATAATATGAGGTAGAATTGTTAAAATTCTAACTTAACTTGTTAAGTTGTCATCTCAATATCTATTAATTCACCAGCAAAACTTGTCAAAAATATTGTTTGTATATTCAATATTATTGATTTGTTATAATATAAAGTAAACTTGTTAACATCCTAAAACGTAACTCGTCCTTTTAGTACATGTACTTGTGAATTTTATGAGAATTTGTTAATAATACTTTTTATATGTTTAATCTTGTTGATTTGTTAAAAAATGGAATGTACTTGTTAAAACCATTATTTTGTTTATTTTTAAAGAATACTTTGTATGTCATTAAAAAAAAGTAAAAATAACTATTATTATTGCTCTTATTTAAATTAAAATTAGAATATAAGACATAGCAGTTCTTTTTTATTACTCATAGTGTCTCCTATTAAACGATTCAATATTAAATATAAGTATCTCTCTCAATAAAAATTTTAATTTTAATTTATTATGTAGTAAGAGATTAGTTTTTTTTTTTTAACAAAACTTGAATTTTCTTGGCATGAGACATGGTAATTCTTATTTACAAAATGACCCACTTTTGAATCTGCCCCTACTTGTTTTGGACGAAGCCCCACTTTTTAATCTAAAACTGTGAAGGTTAAAGTTGCTCACTTGAGCCAAGGAATGGCATCATTATAAGGCATAGATTTCCACCATCTTTGGCGCTAACTATAAGAGGCCATTGGAATGCTATACCCTATTTGGCTGTTCATCTTTTTTCGTAACCACCCCACCTCTTGACGAAAAATTTCACCCTGGGCCCACACCCCTTTTGTTCAGTATCATCATAAAAATTATTTTTTTTAATAACTTATTTTAAGATTTCAACAAAGTGCCTTATATATTACTCACTCCATTTTAAATTAAAAAATATTTTTAAATAAAATTATATATATTAATAAAATTTATTAAATATACTTTATAACTATATTTTTTTAAGACTAAAAAATATATTTCATTTAATATTCTATTTATAAAAACATTAAAAAAAGAGAATATATAAAAAAGATAATATAAAAAATGTATTATTAACAAGTTTTATTTTCGTAAAATTGTCTTCTATCTAATAATTTGGGATTGAGGAAGTCAAATATATTATATTTCATTCAAAATATAAAACATTTTTAATTATGATGTGAATATTAAGTAAAGTAGTTAAAAGTAATTTATATCATTAAAATAGTAAAAAAATGTTACTATTTTTGAAGATTATCCTCCAGTTAAAATTAATCTACCTTAATTACTTTTACTTTTTTCTCCTTATATAATATTTCTCTATAATATATAATAGGTAATTAACAAGGGCGTTTGTAAAAAAGAAGATAATTTAATGTTTTTTTTTTAGCAAAATGTCCTAGATTTAGGACTGGCACGAGCTAGGGGAAAATGTCTTTTGATTTTAGACAGGAGAACTTAGAATTTTACGGGAAAAAAGATCAAAGTCATTTTTAATGGCAGAAGTTTCAAATCTGGTCTGTGTTGATAAAAAAATGCACAATCCAAATTTAATGTTGTTTATTTTAAATATTTTTAATTTTAATATATGTAACATTTAAAATAAATATATTTAAATTATGACTCTGAAAAATAAATTTATTTTTTAAAAGTTACAAATTCGAACACTCTAATAGATCAACACGAAAAGTCAGAAAGTATACCCTCACCTTCATTTGAGGCAATTACAGTCAGTTCATGTATTATATTTTTGAGCCAAAATACATACAAGCAATGAATTCATGAAAAGCAAAACCATTAAATATTGTGACATTGAATCTCATCACATTCTAGACCCATCCATCCATCCATTCAATGAGTTTCGCCTATTAGCTCATGACACTTTATTTGCAAGAATCTGCAGTTTTTATATCCCACCAAATCCCACAATAAATTCCCCAATCAATTACCTTCCTATTTTAACTTTTTAAATAATTTATGTGAACCCACTTTCTCAAACTCTCCATAATCTCAAAATCACACAATCCAAAGTCACCCTCCGACCATATTTCTCTCCCTTTCTCTCAATGGCTGAGCTGAAGAGGGCAGTGACATCCTACAGAAGAACAGGCTCTTCAGGATTGGTATGGAATAGCAAGTCTGTGTCTGAGATTAGAGACCCTAATCAGACAAGTGCTAACCAAGGAGACGATGAACATCGGATAGTGGAAACCAGAAGTCTAAGGCAGTCCAAAAGTGTAGGAGCCACGGCGGATTTGGTCGGCCGGAGCCAATCCACCGGAACAATGATATACCGGAAGGTCAAGGTTGTGCCACCGTCCAAGGATCCTCCTTCTCCTAAGCTATCAACCTGTGGACTCTTTTGTTTCCCAGTTGTCACTACCCAGCATTTTTATTCCAAGTCTAAAAAACGTAGGTGATATGTTCATTATTTTTTTCTTTTAAATTTATTTTTGAACTGTCTTATAAGATTAGATCGGTCACATGTTACATGGATCTTGATGCAAAATGTTGTCAATACCTTGTTGTTCTGTGTATCTGATGTTTTATGTGAATTTAACCTCTGTCTAATTGCCTCTTGTCATTAGCCTCTCATAGGCTATCATCTCGTTTATAGTTTTATTCTAGGTGAGTAGCTGACCGTGATGAACGGGACGTCGCGTAATATATATTCATGTTTGGTTTTCAGTTTGACAAAAGTCAGTTTGATGAAAGTTCATGTAATAAAAGTCAGTTTGGTGAAAGTCAGTTGTTGTAACGAAATTTGTGTTTGGATATATTTTTCCAAAAGTTAGTTTGACAAACAGAAAGTTGTTTGGATTAATAAAAGTTTATTCTTTTGAAATGTACTTTTTAATGTGTAATGACCAAAAAGGACATTAAGAAATGATAATTTATAATTTTAATTATACAAATATAATATATTAGTAATGTTTGAAAAATGTGAAAGAAATTTTAAAATAACATAAAATTTAAAATGTTAAATAATAAGAAAAAAAATATAAAATTTAATTTTGGACAAATTTATGTAATAAATAGTTAAACATTGGCTAATATTGAATAATTACATGATTAATGGTTCGATCTATAATATACAATCTGATCTCTAATAGAATCTCGAACCATATTCATCTTTCTATCAGAAGCCATGCTTGAAATTGTACTTGGAATTATTGATGAAAATACATGCTCATCATTATCATCGTTAGTATTAACCATATTTTCATCCTCAAAACGCCTAAAGTCAGAATCAGTTGCAGATTTTCTTCTAATAAAATTATGTATAGCCATTGTTGCACCAACGATACGAACTTGCGTCACAAATGGATAGCTAGGCATGTGTCGTAAGATTGCGAATCTGTTCTTCCAAACCCCAAAAGTCCTTTCAATCGTGGTCCTTAAGCTTGAATGCTAATAATTAAAAATCTCACTATTGTTTGCAAATCCAGATGAACGCCTGAAATCTGGGAGGTAGTACCTATGAGATCTATAAGGACTTAAATATCCACGTGGCGTTGGATAGCTGGCATCTAATAAATAATATTTACCTACCAATAAAAAAAATTATAAAATCCCAAAGAATATTGAGTAAATTATTTTAAATTAAATTAATATAAAATATACCTTGGGGTGGATGTGGAAATTTCATGTCCGGCCTTGTGAGTGCTTAGTCAAACAAACGAGCATCATAGGCAGTCCCTTCCCATCCAGCCATGACATAAGTGAAGCACATATTCCAATCACATACGGCCATTATATTTTGTGTTGGAATACCTTTCCTTCCAATATATTTCCCTTGCTTTTCAACACTAACCACGCATGGGATATGTGTTCCATTGATTGCTCCTATGGCATCTTTAAAGAATGGCCAATATCGCGGATCACTTAAAATTTTTGGATGAATATCTTGAAAAGTGTGATCTTTTGGTTAGATATATTCCTTTGTTAGCTTCTCACAAGCATGCAATACATTTTTGAAATGTCGGTGAATAGTTTCTCCTGAATGTTGAAATCGTTCTTGTGCCATCCTATTCCCCACCCCATGTCCAACAATATTTAAGAACATGCCGACCATTTCATGAATCCCTGTTCTTCTAGTTGAAGACAAACCATGTTGCACCAGTTCATCACAAAGTTGGAAAAAACATTTTTTTCCATGCGAAACATGTCATAACAACGCTGAGGATGCCCTTGTAAAATTTCTTGCACCCATGCATGACCTAATTGTGAACTGGTTCTACAAGGCTCTTTCAATAAAGTTGTTGAGTAATTAGATATTATTGCAGTAATAGCCTCAATCTCATCATCTTCCGCATGTACAAGTAATTGTAATAAGCGAGATTGCGTATTGTCATCCATAAAAACTGCATAGCATAAGTAAACAACCATTACACTATTGTTCATGACTTAACATAAGAAACACATAACACAAGAGTCAAATAACATAGTCAGTTTCAAAACAAAGTTAACAACATAAACGGCACTAGCTAAATTTAAAACATTGAGAAGACAAGCTAAGATTGATCTAATCTACTTTTTTTCCCAAGCACCTCAAATAGGCCACTAATGCTCTTCTGTTGTCCCTAAGCCCAATATACATGTCCCTTACAGTCTTATCTAACAAAGCCACAGCACACTGTCCAAGAAGCGACTCATCATAAGCAATCTCCTCGATTCCATAAAGTTCTTTTACAACATCCACCACATTTTGATCAACTGGTTTTGTGCCACCCTCTATGGAATTAAGAATTGACTTTAATGTTGAAACCCTATCCTCTTGTGTGGACACCAAGCAACTCACTGAATCAACCATCACAGTTGCAAGATGTTTTCCCTTTTTGTTTTGACCACTTTCACCTATCTTTCTCTTGCTCCTCGAATTAGAACCACCACTATATGTATTGTTCAAGTTGACCTGCCCAATTTCTGGGAGAGCTCCTCCACTAATATTTCTCACATCATCACTGTCTCCTGATCCTTCGGTCAAATCCAGTTGAGGCCTATACATATCTTGTGCGTCATCAGCCGCAGGTGTCCACAGGTAAGTACCTCGAGCTGCAACTGGCTGGAACTACTGTGTCAATGTACATATGGAAGTGGTCTATGTCTGAATTTTCTATACTCAGGATTCTCCTACACATTACAAGAATTGAGTTCAATATATTTACAAAATAAAGCATCAAATATAGAGCATGCCGTATATAACTATATACCTTAATCTTTTGACTCCACCACTCATCCGGTGCTGAAATAGTATTCTTTTCGCCATCCCATCTAAAGCCGGTCTCTTTGTTCAGCAATTTGTCCCATATATTCTAGTCTTTTCTCAAATTATCCCATTTATTTTTTAACTGCTTCTTATCATAGCTTCTGGAGTTCAAAGCATTGAATTGTTGCATTAACGCTTCCTAATCTTCTTTTGATAAGGTAGAGCCCTTGCGCTTATTTTTTTTAACTTGTTGAAGAGCTAATTTGAGGAACAGTTCGGTCTCTTCGATAGTCCACAATGCCTTCTCCTTACTCATATTTACTATCGAAATATTACATTCTCAATAATTAATTAACATAAATTAGACCTATTTGTCAATCCATATTTAACAGGAAACAAAGCAACTAATAATTAATTAAGTAAAATTATCCAATATTCATTTATGAAACCATACCAAAACCCATAATTTAACATTAGTTTGAACAAAAAAATAACTTGAAAATACACATATAAACATACATAAATTCAGAATAATTCATCAGCAATTGAGTACAAAATTTTTTTAAAACACACACATTCTCAAGAAAAGAAATCAAAACCCAGGAACCAATCATTGATTATCAAAAAATTTACACATTTATATAAAGAGAAAAACTAATTTTGAACTTAAATAATTCAAGATTTAAAAACAGAACCAAGCATTTCCACCATTTCAGTTCCTATTCATTCAGCATAACAAAACTTTGACCCATACACACAGATCACAACTACGTTCAAATTCACAACATTCCTATTCAATAAGTATGAGAAAAGTTTGAACCTGTCCTTCTTCTTCAAGGTTCAGATTCCTAACGTCCAGAAGCTTTCAAGTTTTGAAATGCAAGTAGAAGAAACGGTTAAACAAATCAGAAGAACCTTCAACCGGAAAAAAACAGAGCATAAGCAACTGGAAAATGATGACTGAAATGGAAGAAACATCTAGAAGCTCTCAAGTTTTGGAATGCAAGTGGAAGAAACGACAGATCAGAAGAACCTTCAACCGAAAAAAAAACAGAGCATAAGCAACCTTCAACCGGAAAGAAGCTCTAACCGTCCGAGTTCAGTTTAAGCCTCAAATGTTTTTACTTTTATCAGCTTCACAATGCTGTCCCAGACCCAAAAGAAGCTCGATCCGTGAGCTACCACCGAAAAATGGTGACTGAAATGGTGAGGAAGGATGACAGAACCAGGCCACGAGCTCAATGAAGGAAGAAAAGTCAGATCTGTGACTAGAGATGGTGGGGGAGAGACGGAGGAGAGAAGGACGAAAGTCACCGGAGATCTGACGGCGGACGAGGCGGACGAACACAGCACAGAGAAGAGAGAATGAAGAAGTTAGATCTGTGACCTGGTGTGGTGGGGGAAGACGAACGCGAGAATGATGAGAAGACTCACCGAAATATGACAGACGTGCACTGACGGTGGACGACGCGGAAGAGGTGGAGGAGAGCAGACCACAGACACGATAGAACTGGAGGAAGCAGGCGAGATCTAAAACATGGAAGAAGACAAGCTCGATGGAAAAAAAAGACAGATATGAGCAGGGGTATCATGGTCATTTTAAATAATAAGTATTTCATCTCTCCTCAATTGACTTTTTAAAAGCTCCAAATACTAGCTTTCAGTTTTTTACGTTGCAACCAGGTCTGAAAGCACTTTCAAAAAGTTAATTTTAAACCTTAAATGATCCCCAAACACCATTTAACTTTCTCAAAGTAAAAACCAACTTTTTGGATGTAAAAAGCTGGATTCCCAAACGCACCCTTAATAGAAATGAGACGCCATTCGTCATGTACCAATCCAAAATGTGAGTCTAGTTTTATTTTTTTTTATTTTTTAAAAAACATCTAATTTTTAATCTTAATTGCAACTAGGGTAGATTTAGGCTAAATTGAGTTAGGTTTTGATTAAATAGGCTTGAACCTAACTTGAAAACTATATAAAACTTTTCTTATGAATCAGGCCTGAGCCTATTTAAAACCTAACTTGACTTAAAAATTTATTAAAAATCTACTTAAAAAGTAAACATTTTAAATAAACTCGCATTTTTATTTTAAATGTTTCACATATACTTTAGAACTGTTAATATAATCATATAATCTAATTTATCAATTATAATATATAATAATTAAAAGTACTTATCAACTACAATATAATACAATAATAAAGTAA